CTAAAACTATTGATATTTTGTCATTCCCACGACAGTCGGGTCTACGTAACCGGAACGACCCAGATTTATATCTGGCCAAGGACTGTCACTCCAGCAACACTCCCCAAAAAGTCTTTGGGGAATTTGTATGCTGCTACAACAACAACAACATTGATATTTTGTATTTTTACATTTAGGAATTTAGAACATGTGTTGGCTCACCTTTTAGTTTTATATACATAAAAGCTAAAATAGAACAATAAATTTTAACTGACTATAAAACAGAAGTACTTAAAACTAGTTAAAATAGTTGTATAATAAGCTATGAACTGATAGAGACGGGTCAAAAGTTGGAATATTGTTTAGCTCTACTAAGGTTCTAATGAAGCGAGCATACATTGTATAGTTAGTTTTAGAAAATACAAGGTAGAAAGAAGAAACACTGCGTAAGTTACGTGTTGGAACATTAAAGGTTATTATTTTCAAGAGGTTAGGGCAATCAACCGATCCATTCAAGAGGCTGGCAACGTAAGAGCAAGCAACGTGTGTCAAGTTAGCACTACACTTTTCGAAATTGGAAAAGTTAACTACGGCATTAATTGTAGTGTTTTTGTTGTAAATTCTGTTGTGGAAAGCAAAAATTTGTAGCTCTCGTTTTTTAAGAAAAAATGGTATGTAGTGCTAACTTGACACCATACACCTAGTCGATAGAATTGAGATATCCAATATGTTACTATGCCATTAATTGTAGCTTTTAACTTTAAAATTTGTGTGGAAAGAAAAAATTTGTAGTCGATAGAATTGATAGATAGGTGTATGGTGTCAAGTTAGCACTACATACCATTTTTTCTTAAAAAACGAGAGCTACAAATTTTTTCTTTCCACAACAAATTTTAAAGTTAAAAGCTACAATTAATGCCGTTATAACATTTTCAATATCTCAATTCTATCGACTAGGTGTATGGTGTCAAGTTAGCACTACATATCATTTTTTCTTAAAAAACGAGAGCTACAATTTTTTTTTTTCCACAACAAATTTACAACAAAAACACTACAATTAATTCCGTCGTTAACTTTTCCAAATTCGAAAAGTGTAGTGCTAACTTGACACACGGGAGCAAGCAAGATAAGAAGATCTGCTACGTAGAGTTTGTAAATAAAGTAGCTCACAACAAGATTCATATGAGGGAATGTGTTCTCTAAAATTCAGTGAACGTAAAGCAAATTTTATACATTTAAACGCGTGATATGGGAATTGTGATAAGGTCTCTAAATGAGTGTATGGATCATAAAGAGATGAGCTATTTCGAAGGACGAAGGCCAGTAGTGCGTAAGATTTGCCATCTATATGAACTGACGGACGAAGTCCAGAGGTTCATCAAGCAACCTCTGGACCCGTCAGCTTACCGACTGGCCCTGAACGGCATTCACAGGGAGTCAGTCTCTAGTTATGTAGACTCTAGACCTGTGAATGCCGTTCTAGGCATACCGCCCCCGGACATAGACGTGACGGAGCTTCATCTGCCTCGGGAGACACGAACGACAATAGCCCAACTTCGCTCCGGCTACTGCAGCAGGTTAAAGTCCTACCTGAGTAGATTGAATGAGGATGTGCCAAACGAGTGTCCGGCATGCGGAGAGACCCCACATGACTCGAAACATCTCTTCGCATGCCCGGAAAACCCGACAACCCTAACGGCCTTGTCCCTGTGGACCAACCCTACGGAAGCTGCACGCTTCCTAGGGCTGCCGTTAGTGGAACTTGACGACAACGACTGAGATACCAACCGTCCTGGGCGGGGTTGTTGTAGCCGCTACCACAACAACAACAACATTTGCCAACTATATAGTAGATATGCGTGGAAAAGCTTAGTTTCGTGTCAAAATATACACATAAATCCCTGACTTCATTAACATGATTAAGAAAAGATCCAGAAATATGATAGCGCGTGGGGAGCGGAATTAACTTTCTGGTATACGTAAGATGGTTCCTTGTGCACCAATCATGAAGTTTAACAAGTTCTCCTTGAAGGACAATTGAGTCGTGTATGTTTTTAATGACAAGATAAATTTTGCGATCGTCCGCAAATAATAGATATTTAGATAACGAGAAGAAGGACCCGATGGCATTAATAAATAAACAACAGTGGTCCCAGTACACTACCTTGAGGAACACCCGACGCACAGTGCCGCCTACAATTAATCCCGTTATAGCATTTTCAATATTTCAATTCTATCGAATAGGTGTATGGTGTCAAGTTAGCACTGCATACCATTTTTTCTTAAAAAAAAGTTACAATTAATTCTGTTGTAACCTTTTCAATATCTCAATTCTGTCATCGATGGTGCATGGTGTCAAGTTAGCACTACATACTAAATTTTGTTCGAAAAAGGGTCAACTCAATTTTTTCCAGAAAAACGAAAGCTACAA